TGTGTCCAGTTCTTGGCTCCACAGTACAAGAGGGATGTGGAGCTGCTCAAAGAGTCCAGCACAGGGCTACAGGGATGATCAGGGGCCTGGAACATCTGCCCTATGAGGAGCGGCTGAGGGAGCTGGGCCTGTTCCGCCTGGAGAAGAGAAGGCTGAGAGGGGATCTAATCAGTGTATATAAATACCTCAAGGGAGGGAGTGCAGAGGACGGGGATGGTCTCTTTTCAGTGGTGGCCACTGATAGGACTAGAGGAAATGGCCGGAAACTGAAACATCAAAAATTCCATAGGAACTTAAGGAAAAATTTCTTAACAGTGAGGGTGACAGAGCACTGGAACAGGCTGCCCAGAGAGATTGTGGAGTCTCCTTCTAGCGAATTGAACCTGCTTCACATTGAAGCGTTGTTCATTCCGTCTCGCAGGGTGGGCCTCAGCAAAGCCCTCTAGTTTAATGGATTGCTTTTTTCTACAGTTTGCCAGCCTATTTTTGCATGGCACTGAAGATAAAATTTAGAGGATTTAGATAGAGGACAAAGATTTATGCCATGTGTTGTTGCTGTTTGTTAGGGCAATTCTGCTATTTCTGTGAATTAAGACATCTAATATTGGCATCTAAGGACCCTTTCCTATTTTTTTTTGCAAATGAAGAACATTGTCCAAGAACCAGACTCAAGAAACCTTCACAGTTGTAAAAGACATTACCAGTTTTTAAGAATTGGTACTTAGAAGACTTGTTACAAGTTTAAAACTGCAAGCTACAAAATGTCCTCATAAACAGGGTAAGAGCACAGACCTGCTCACCAGGATGTTGCAACAGATAGAGGATTGGAGCAGGTAAGTCAGAACAAGCTTTGAACCTGTATCAGATTCTAAATAAGATTTTGGAAATATTTCCTTTGGCTCCTTTTAAAGGAGAAGCTGGGATCTGCAGTACTGCAAAGATAGCAGAGGGCATTCCAGTCATCTGCAAGCACTAGAGACAAATTTTAGAGAGGGGCAAACCTCAAAGTCATTGCAAAAACCAAGCCATCCCATGCAGAGAAAGAAAAATGCAATATCTGTGAAATACAGATAGCAACGAGTAGCTAACCTTGGGCTTAGCTAATTGTAGTCTAACAGAGCATACAGAAGCGATCAAGCCCCCACGTTGTGTAAAGAAAGTACATAAAAAAGGCAGCATTGCGTTGCTTTGTCTCACAGCTATGTGCAGCAAGGAACGGCTGGGTCAGTCTCTACACTGCACACTTGGCACAAAGGACAAATTCACAGTACATTTATGTTCTTAAAAATGATGCTGTGTTGAAATCTTGTGGACTGTATTTCCTATTATTATTTTCGCTCAATACTACTAAGCTCTACAAAGAGTAAATTACAGTAGCAGTTGAAGGATAAGTAATCAATTACTTCTCTGCTCAAAACTTAAAAAATAAGTTACTTTGCAGATCTGGGAACACAGACAACATGTACCTTACCTTGCTGTAAACTGCCATGAAGGTGATTAACAAATGCAGTTAATATAGTTGCCACATTCATCACTTGGGAACATTGTGCAAGACCAAGTGTAAAAAGCTCATTCCAGCAGGCTTTTACTAATGATATGCTGTTATCCTGTCTATTAAAAAAATACAATAATTTCACTTAATAGCACCAGCCATTTGCATATTTTTTCTAATTTAAAGACTACTTCATGAAACATTTGCCTAATTCAACCAATGCAACCAATATCAAAATGAAGCCCAACATCAGAAGTATTTTTATTTTCATGCTAGAGTTAAAATACTTGACCTGAGAAGTCAAAAATCAGGTACTATGTTCCACTGTTTTAACCAGTAAATATTAGAAATTGAAAGGAAACAAAGACCTATCAAAGAATAAAAGCACCTTAAACCTAGGATTCTAATTGCAAAAGTGTGACGGGATGGATTTTTGCAAGAATATTAGTGCAGTCTTATGAAATGTTTCTGATGATTTATTATAATGCTATCTGTACGCCAAATCATATTTGCTGCATCCCCTTTAGCCTCCCGCCGAAGGGGCTACGTGGAGGCCTAGTGCAAACCCAGCGTGCCGGCTCCTGGCTCAGAGGGGTCCGGACGGCACCGCGCTCTCCATGCGGTTAGAGTTCAACCACGCGGCTCAATCATTAACTGAAGTGGGAAGAGGACACTCCTCTGGCTGAGATTAAGGAATCGCTGCCTAAGGAAGGATCCACTTGGATAAAATGGTCTGCCTTTCTCAAAAAACTATTATTTTGGTTCTGCTGGGGCTCATCGACGCCTCCGAATTATTAGCACCAAGAATTTTTTTTCAATTGAAAACTGAAGCAAGTCAACTTTGTAGCAGTTAAAAGTTACGGACGCAATCTGCTCAAGTTTAAAAAGCAGCATTAATTAAAAAAAAAAAAAACTTCCACTTGGAAGTGTTAAAATTTTAAGCTTGAAAAGGCAAATTATATATTCATGTTAAATGGTGTTTTAATAGTCTGTTGATTATGATCTTGATTGGGACTGGAAATTCTAGCATAGGTGAATATTAACACTATTAGTACATTCTACTCCTCCATTTTTTATGCAAACATCAAAATATATTGGAAGTAGCTTACTCAAAAAATCATGCAGATTTTCTGTAAGTATTTCCATTTCACCTGATGAGTTTTGTCACACAAAGTTTTTCTGTGCAGCTTTTTAAAAAGCAGCATTTTTACAGTTGTGCAGCGTCTCTGTCTTACAAAAGACTTTAAAGTGATCAATGATGAAATTCACCGTGGGAATTTGATACTTCAGAATTCTGCAGGGCAGCGGTTTACATTAATAATCAAACATCACATTTATGCTTTTGTCCTCCTTTTTGCTCCCCTTTTATTTCACAGAATTCTACTGTTTCTTTTCTCAAAACACAGACTCCAATTACATACAACACAACATCTTTTCTTACAGAATGTACAATAATTTGTCTTAAACACCCAAGTGAATACAAATGGCAATCACAGGTCATCCTGCCTCTGACAAGCTTTCTGGAAGAGGGAAGAAACCTTCACTTTAAAAAGGAATTTCTTTGCTACCACAGAGTCATAAACTATTTTGATATTGGATTTTAAAAATCACTGTAGAGAGAAGGACAGGAAGAGATTTCTGGTGAAGACTAACTGGATTTGTACTCCCTTCGTGTCACACCTGATACACTATCTTTACTTGTTTGATGTGTCCTCATAAAATGACTTCTGAAAGTAACACGAATTACTTTTCCCCACACTGTCTGGAAATGTTTTCTCATGACAGTCAGCAATGTGCTGCCACATAGCTTAATAATTTTAGATGACACACTAAATTCTGCTGGAAAAAAATGGATGTTAAGCTAACTGCAGACAGAACGATAAAAATTACTTTTTTCTGCTTACAGAGTCAGTTTGCTTTTGGAAACTCCCTGGCAAATAAACAATTCCGAAGGCTTGCTGAACCTAGCTAACATTTCTCCCATACAGGCTAGCAAAGGCAAAATTATTCCTACTAATTCATCTACAACAATAGCAGTATTTAGGGCTCCAGAGATCATGGATTTTTTTGATGACTGTCTTAGAAGCATCAGAGATCAGGATGTAGCTATTCACAAATGATAGGAAGTGATTTACTGAAAAATCACTTTCAGTGGGGAGTAATTTTTAATCAGCAGATTTACCTTCATGATGAAGATCTATAAGACATTTTTAATAAATGGTTTTATATTTTAAAATCACCCTGAAAAAGACAGTAAAAATAGCCAATTAAAAACTGTGTGTACACAATACGAGAGAACACAAAACATGAACACTTACCCTAAAGCTTGGAAAGATGGAATGGAACGTGCCCAGTGCATGGACAAGAAAAGCAACCTGGAGGCAGACTCACAGATATAGTGAACGTTCAGATATTCAGGCATAGGCGAAGGCATGGTGAGCTGGTTAAAAAAAAACACAGAACATTTTCTGTAACACAGAAAATCAGACTTGATGGTTTCTTTTAGAGAGAAATAGGTAAAAGTATTTTGGAAGTAAACATGGGATAATCTTGAAGCAAAAATTGAATGGCTGCTTTTATTCCATATTAGCCACACAGTTATATTTTAATGAGATTACAAAGCAATGAAGACAGGACCAAAAAAAAAGATTAGATAAAGATTCATATCTGGAACACCTGGAAATTGAAAATTCAAAATAAATTTTCAGACATTCACAGAAGAATAAAAGTTTTAGAAGACCTACTGTAATTAGGAACATTTATGAAATTTCTTATATTTATAATAAATATATTCCAAAAATACAAATACAGACGCACCGTAACTTTCCAAATCCTGTCGGAGAGGAGGAGAACAAGTGGCCTGAAAAATCAGTGGCATCACCACAATTACTAGGTGGAGTTTTGGGAGAGCAGAGAAGATCTTATCTCACATAAGACCTTTGGCTTGTAGCTTTAATTTTTATTTTGCAAAATAGCATTTTGGTATGTGAACAAAATACCTATATACAGAGCTGCCCAAGTCCTAAACAGTAAGCAAGATGCATCAAAAATGACCTTTCTGAAGTTACATGAGTAAAATTAATGGGTTTTCCTGCACATACTTTCTTCCTCCACGTGAAGAAAGGATTTGACTCCAAATTGCTAATTATAGTGCTCTAGTTTTATTCTCAGAAGTTAATTCTTCATAATACAATGATTCTGCTAAGTTTATTAATAAGACCTGACATTTTATTGTAAAATTAACACTAGAACCGAGTGATCAAACTGTGCACTACTGAGCGCACCAAAGCTTAATGCAGGGGCTGATGCTGAAGAAACTTTTGGATAAGGAAGCTTTCTGATTTGTCCATGAGTAACAGGACGAAAAAAGGATGAAAGAATTTCTGCAGGCTTATGAAATGATAAATAAAGTTAGAAAGTCTTTGTCTCTCTAAAAAAGAAACCAGATTCTTCCTAATGGCTAAAGACAATTTGCGCCACACTAAAGTAGGGGAAACCTGCAAAGGAGAAACAGTGACAAACGTATTTAGGAGCCTCAGTATTCAGTTACAGAACACGTTACATCCATCTGGCAATAAGTGAGAATGTCGATGCTGACTCTCTGCTTTGCAAGACACTTTTCCATATAAATCTCTTTGTACTGATCACCTATGGTTTTAAGATACAATAAACTGTGCAGCTAGAGCTCTTAAGAGCTCTAACAAAGTGCTAATCATTGAACAAGGGCAATATATTCATCAAAAATGAACACCAATACCTTAAACAAATGCTAACTCTTCTAAGAAACGCAAAAGACCACTTCAACAAATCATCAATTACTTTGTACTAAATTAAAATGGTCATAAACAGCATATAATAATGCTCAAGTATTAAATACCCTGAATGCCACGTGCGTGTCGCTGAGCAGCGGCCCCTCTATTTCAACGATATCCAAGCTCGTTTCTCCACCGACGAGCTGCACGCTGGCTTCAACATTCTCTGAGTTTTGGCATGCTGCACCCTCTCCTGGATTTAGAGCTTTTGCAAGGGTATCAAATGCTCTGTAAGATACATATAAAAAAAGGGGGGGGGCAGGAAGGGAGAAGCAAATTTCATCTTTGAGAATGTACTGATTCAGAAGGAACTTCTACATCTGCAAGCAGTATTCAGAGATCTGCCTCAAACAACCAGAAATAGTAGAGAAGATACAATAACAAACTCTTCCCACAATCCCTAAGAATGCCAGATTACATTGTCTCTGCAACAAAAGTCAGCAGTACTTCCTGATCACACTAGTTGTCAACTAGTCACAGTCAAAAATTCACAGTTTTGACACAATGTCTGAGCTGGTGAATCACAGTTTGCCTTGCAGGATCTCTTTAGTGGTGTTTACTGAGAGCGTTGGCACAAGTGTTTTTAGCACATGATGATCACATTGTTGTTAAAGCAATCTAATGCACATGGAAACTGTAGGCAGTTTTGCTGTTACGAAGTGCAAACAGCAATAATGTTTTTTTTTCTGGCTTTTCATGTCATGAACTGTTGTTATGCTGTTCAACTTCATTTAGAAAGCCTGCTTCTAAAGATATAGGAGAGCGTATTCTCAAATTTTCCACACCACCTGATGCAGGGCAGTGACTCCTGCAAAGCCCAAGTCGCAGGCGTTACTGGCGAGAGCCCAGGATAAGCACAGATGTATCACTCATCTTCGCTGCCTGGTAGCACCAAACAAAAGGGAACACCTGTATACACCATGGTTTCATTGTTCCTCTGTGCACACCATCATTTCCTTGTTCCTCTGTGCACAAACACACCTGAGACCCAAACCCAATCCATCTGCACTCTTGGTAGATACACTACCAGTGCCTGCAGGCAGACGATGCATCCTGAGGGCAGTATCACTCCTACATAAAAGCACTGCATGAAAAAAACTCATACACTTGTAACAACTCATCATGAGCCAGTATGCAGAGCCAATTCTCAATGTGTAGAGATGTGTTAACTGTCACAGAGTCTCAGACCACTCTCAGAAGTTCTGCTACCTAATTTGGCGTCCAAATGGCAGAACTCAGCCCACCTCCTCTCCCTCTTGCTTCTGAAGTGCACCAATATACTAAACCCTTAAGTGCTTGCTATTTCTAATGTAACTATTTCTGACCAAAAAGACACAACACAAACGAGCTGCTCACACTGCTTCAGGCTCGAGAGGCCACATGAACTGGAGTAGTTTTTAGCCCTACACTAGTCTGTACATCTTTAGTAGCACATGAAGGTGACTAAGGCAGGCACAAGCAGATATAGCTGGGGAATTTCCTGTCACAGTTATGTGGAAAGCAGGAGAAAAGGGAATGCACTCATGTGCAAGCAGTCCAAGTTAGACTGCCTGTCTCCTGCTAGGAAATCTCAGTTTCAGGCCCCATGGCTCCTATTTGGCTTCTATTTGTACATGAAGCCCCTATATCTTGGTTGACTCACATGAACAAATATTGCAAGATAAAAAACACTAAGAAAAAAAAAAGACTATCTTGAACAAAGTTTGCCTGAAAATTACAAAAACCTGGTCCACTAAACAAGAAAGAAAATAACATTAAATAGTATTCTTTGTTAGAGACAAGACTAGTTCCCTTTTTATCCAGCTCATTCACTATATGGACATGTAACAGTACTGATAAGATATAAAAAATGAACACAGATAATAAAGTCACTAGAGGACAACAGCATGTAACATTAAAATATAACAGCTGCTGAATGCTAGCAAGAAAGTTGTTGACTAAATTTTTATCAGTCAAGTAAAAGCTTTGCTATGGTCGCTGCAAGCAATTAAACACAAAACACACGAAAAATGGTGATAGAAGTTTCTCCTTGAACCCTCTCAAACCATTTTTCTTCAGTAAACACCTGTGTATGTTGGATGAAGTTGTCAAGGAAATCAATGATTTAGACCAAAATTTTATTTTCTGTTTGAGTGATAACTTCCCTTCTACAAGATATTTCACTTGAAAACCCCTATTGGAAATCTATGGAAATCTGGTAACCTATTAGAAATGAGTAGGTGGTTACACTGTGCCAGAGCTCTTTAGAGTTCCCTGGTCGAGAGAGCTCCTGAAAATGCCTGGAGATGAAGATTTGGAAGGTTACTGGGCAGCCATAGCACACTGAAGTTTGCTCAAGTTGCTCCTTCCACAGCAAGCTCTTCACCTCGGAGGACACGACAAGGGTCCAGTCAGCAACATGCACTGACTTGCTAAGCAGCACATAGACATAAAGGAGCACAGCAAACTCTGCTTGCAGTCCCATAGGAAAAAAATCATGTGCTTGAGCCAATACTAGCTACTCCACTATATACCAGTCCTTTTTCCCTTGATGGATTTACTGCACTTGCATGTTTTCAACCCAGAAGACATGACATGGATGTTGCGCAGCAAGTGAATATTGGTGGGACAACTGCCAGAATCCTGCACGGGATGACAACCACGGAAGAGCACGACCGTAACTGAAAGGATAACGGAGTAAGTACGATGTACAGTATTTGATATATATGCTAACCACAATGGCTTGGTTAAAATCAAAGAAACAAGTTTGGAGGATATACAGTGACTGTATTTGTATTGACAGTGGGCATTATTTGAGGAGTTCTGTGCAGAAAAAAAATACTTCTCAATTTTTTAAGGGGACTAGCAAGGCATTAAACTATTCTAAACACTGATTAACACTGATCTTACTGCGAAGAATTTTCCAAGATCAATCTGCAACACAAACTCAGTCAGCTGTTGTTGTTATTTCTAATGCAGATACTTGATGATTTAATTAATGATCTAAACGGATGCAGAAAGCATCAGAATGTTATTTTCAGTGGTAACGTGCCTTACCTTGTAACATCACTGCTAGCTTGTTCTTCTTGCGGGAGTTCAGACAATGATGCATCTCCGTTACTTAAACTCTCAATCATAGATAGCTCAGCGCTGCTTTGAGACACGTCTTTGGATTTACTCAGATTCGCTAACGATGTCACCACATTTGCCAGCGTGCTTAAATCACCCTGACATGCTTCAACCTGAGAGAAAGGTAGAATGTTTAATTCTTCCGTACTGGCAACAGTTAACTTGCATTAGAAGAATCTGAATTCTGCACTAACTAATGAATTACTGAGCTTGTGAATAAACCTCTAAGAAAACCGCTGTTTCAAAAAACGAGTAGTCATACTGCAGCCATTAGACACTGTGTTGCTTCTGAATGTGAGCAGGACAGACATTTACGTTTACAAACAACAGATACCTGCGTCTTTCAGAAAGAATGCTACAGAAGGCAAGCAACCACAGGAAGACATTTTAGCATCTCCACTCCTTAGTCAAATACTCAGCTGTACTATAGGACTATCCTAGGCTATATATTTTGCTGCTTCTTTTCTTTCTGCCCGCTCTGCAGTACATAAAATAAACAGGACTGAAGGAGTATAGGAATGCTTGAAAACAGGGAATGGATAAAAAGTCATTTTGAAGCGGGCAAGAAAAGAATTCTGCTACAGCTTTTTTTTTTTTTTTATGCCTCTATTTAATTGCATGGTAACCCAGGGATTCAGTGATGACCAGTGATTCAGATGGGCAGCAAGTCATGCTTCCCTCACTCCTCCAGTTACTTTAAACAGGAAGGTGCACAAGTCCATGCTGCTGCTAACATGAGTATGCAATGAGTCATTTAGCTTCCTTAGTTATACTCCACACATGGAGCTGGAAAGGTTAAATGGAAGAAACAACTTTTGACGGGGTCCTTTGCAGACAGAACAAGTGGGCTTGTGTGTGCACGTGTGGCTCAAGTGGACTTGTCTACAGGTGAGCCTTTGCAACCTCACTGTATTGTTACAAAGGCGGGGTTAGGGGGAAGAGACCATGTGTCAGGATTGCCCAAAAAAAAAATAAAGGGGAGGGAGGGTGCATTTTTTAAAGCTCTCTCCAAGAAAGGGAAAGCAGGCCCCTTTGGAGAAGACTCCATTTCATGGAAGTTTTTATCATTTTTACTATGCAGTCTTCTGAACAAAAGGCATCTACGATACTGGGCAATCTTGTAAAGGAACATCACTGTTTCAAAATTAAATTCTGTCAAAACAGAAACACACCAAAACAGAACAACTTTCACTCCATATATGCACAGGTATAGCAGGTAACTCTAATATATTACTCACATTATCGTTTACCTTATCCGGAGTCATCAGCACAGTAGGATCACTTTTTATTCCAGACTGATGAATGTTAACAAACATTCCTGACTCCAGCAGACCTGTTGACCTGACACCAATAGTACACAGTTTAATTTGCTGGGCAATACAGAAAACACTTTTGCTCAAGTCCTTTTGAGCAGGATTTACATACCTTGCTGTTTCATTGTCTGTAACAAAAGTTGGTGTTGCAGCCAGTGGACTCCGTAGATCTTTCCGAATGTAGATTTTTTCCGTAGAAGCTGCACAGTTTGAAGATTTTTCTCTGGACACTTCAATAGGTTTCCTCTCACACTGAACAGCTAACAGAGCAGCACACAACTATTAAGTCACATCACAAATTACCGTCTAAGGTATAATAATACTTTTTTTTCTCTTTACTCATTCTGCAATTTCAAAAACGATGCTGAGAATTTAGAGGTGAAATTTTAAAAAGCAACCCAATTAGCTAACCATAACCGAACTTCCACAATCTTTTACAGAAAACAGGTCTAATGACTTAAAAGTATATAACCAACGTAACAAATTCTTTTAATATAAAGCATATCTCGCGTAGCATGCACTTTAACACAGCTGCTAGCTAGAATGGTCTCCTGGTCCCAGATTGACACTGCTTTCCCAGACTTACAGTCCTGTTTCATCCCGAAGGCGATGCATCTCTGCAGGCGACAGTACTGACACCGATTCCGGTGGTGCTTGTTGATGACACAGTCCTTTGTTCCTCGGCACGAATAAACTAAATTCTTTCGGATACTCCTCTTAAAGAAGCCTTTGCAGCCCTCGCACGTTACTGCTCCATAGTGACGCCCTAGGTACAGTGCAGCATAAAGCAAGAGAGTAGTTTTATACCAGTGATATCTTTTCTCTTCTAAGGTTTATATTTATTCAGAATAAAGTATGATTTTACACAGAAAAAGGAACAATCTTATTTTTTCCACAGCTCACAAATTTTAAAATATTAATTGTGCCTATAAAGCCATCCAAAAAAAGTCATGTTTCCGATTTAAAGCGCTTATAAAATTTATCCTGTATAAGTAGGTAAATCACTAAACTGCTTATTATTTTCTTGCTGAATTTATTGACAGAAAGGTTAAAAAAGCTCAGAAAACAGGTACTTAAGAACATAGGAGAAACTCTTAATTTACACATACTAAGTAATTTTTCAGGTTTCAGCAACATGGAAACTGCATACAAACTATAAAGAAAGATCACTGATAAACATTCAAAACTTAATGTAGGGGCTTCAAGGCTTGTTTTTGAACTAGGTAGGGCATACTGCAGAGATAAATCTGAATTATGAACTTATTTACAGAAAAATATATTTTTAGACCTTTTTCCCACAAACATCTTTATAGATAGTTCAATCACATCTGCTGGAAGTTTCAAGAAATTCTAGCAGGCTTCCTAGATTCCTTTATCACATACACACTTGCAAACTGTTTTATAGATCAAGAAAAACCTTAAACTGTTCTTATGAAGTTGCGCAACTAAAAAAAGTAAAAATAAATAAATACCCGATGCCTTGTCTCCGCATACGACACACAGGTCAAACACTTTATTTAGAGCCTGTTCAGTGGAAGAGTTGTCTGTTAAGATCTGAAAAAAAAGTACAAATAATTTCAATTTTCTTTGTCCTGATACCAAGATAGATTAAAATAAATTTGGTGCTTCTGGTTTTCCTCTAAGGTAAAGGTCTAAATCTATAAAGTAAGAGGTTTTCTCAACTACATTTTACAGTCTGCATGGATGGAAAGGAGCTACATGCCACTGCGTTCCCATTCAGGATGGGGTAAAAGTTTTACTTGTAAACTTCCTGAGATTTCTTTAAAAAAATTGAATATTTTAAAATGTATTTAGAAATACATTTAGTATCTGCATACTCTTACCTTTTGTTCACTTTTGTGTTTAGAGAAAACTCGCATATCCTAAAGACTTGGTTGTAGTGCCAAAGAGGCTGAAGCACTAAACAAAAAATCATTTGTGGAAGCCAATAATCCTGCGTTCAGCACTGTTAATTCACCCTAACCCATAAATGGTGGGCCAACAGAAAATGCATTCTGGAAACAGCACCATTAACCATCAAGCAGCATATAGTCTGGTGTTCAGTAACTGCTTGATATTATTACAGTATTCTGGTCTTTCCTTGTTAATTTATCTCTAAAACCTGGACATCTTTGTTAGCGCATAATCTTCAATCCACAGCTCCTCGGAGAAGGCACAACAGCCATCGGTTTGATCTTTTAAAATTTTATCATGCTGAGTCATAAATAAAGCACAACTAGAATTAAATTTTCAAAAGGAAAACACACACGATCACATAAGTGACAATCAAACATCATCTGGAGATGAATGTAAAACAGAAAAGGGCAAATTTTCTTCCAACTGAAAAGTGATATAAATGGACAATTTTAAGTTTCTAACTTCTAATGCATCTTAACGAAAAGGCTGACTTCTTCCTGCTTTGCGTATTCAAAGCAGAGTCTCTGATAAAGAGAAAGGTATTGAAGAAGTACCATATGCTCTGTTGAGGAAACTAAAATTTATCTTTTTTAGAACATGTTGACAATCTCACAAACTGTACATTTAGCTACTTTAACAATCATTATTTCTTTCTAGTTAGCTTTTAGTAACAATACTATCTCACAAATTCATTTAACTTTTTAAAAAATATGCTTGTTGAGTTAATAGAAAATCAACCTTTCATTCCTTCTTAATTTCCATTACTACCAATAGATATGTTCAAGACATGATATCAAATACATTTCTAAGTCCTTCCATAGATGAAACCTTCACAGAAATGTAAAGATTCACCTAAGTAAGAACTACAGAATGTGGCCCATGAGGAGACGATAACCTCAGACTCCACGAACTCATCACTGACCTTGAATACATAGAATAAGAATTGCTGATAAAGGTGATGAGGAGCCACTGGCAGGGAAAAAAGACAACGAGAGGAAAGGCCGTGCAAAATAAGTGCAGGAAAAGACAAGGTGCAACGAGGAAGAAGTTTTGTGCATAGCAAATGGAAGGGACTGCAAAGTGAAGGTTACAGATTAAAAAAAAAATGCAAAACTGAAGATGAAAAGAGAAAAATACGAAAAAGGCCAAGGCGCATGCAGCTGAGTAAGAAACACTATTTCATCAAGACTAAGAGGAAAATAAAATAAAATGAACAAAGAAAATAAAATAAAACCCTACCAACACATCTGAACTGACCAAAGAACAAAGTAACAGAGCTAATGGGACACTGTTGCCTCTCAAGCTGTCCTATTTTGCCCAAATTGTACAACTAGAACTGGAGCTTTGAGTTGATCATTCTGATTTTCCCTACTCTGGAAACTTGCATTTTTAAGTAAGTGTGATACACTTCTTATTTCTCATCTTTTAGGTTGTCTTTGAAAATAACTTTCTACAAGGGGTCCTAGATACCACATCCCACTAGTTTATGTTGCTGTTGAGGCTTACTTAGGATACAACGTATGACACTACAACAGATTGACTTCTGCTATTGCTTCCATACTCACGGCAAACAAATTCCAAATCAGAATTACTTGGAGCAAAAAAATGTGTATATCCATTTGCAAAGATTTGCTGGTTTCAAAAATATGTAATACACAACAGAGTTATGCTTCAAGATTGTACATGTGGGTAGTTACTCAGAGAAGACTGGCTCCCACACAAGTAGAAACTAAACGATCAGGAGATTCCATTTTTGAAAAAAAGATTTCTTGATGCAGGGTAAAAATGGAGATTTACAAGAACAGAATAGGTTGCTTTTTCTCATAGTGCAAGAGACACCTAATAAAGTATTTCTCAGAAGATAAATCAATCTTAAACTAAATAATCTTTGCACAACATAGAATTACACCACAGAATTTATAGGTGTAGGATATTGTGCAGACCAAAGCATAAAAGTTTTATGTATGTAATAAAAATTTTATTAAATAGTTAATTAACGGATCGAGAGACAGATATTAGTGGTCTCACTATAAGCTCCAAACTGGGAGGCCTCTCCAAGCCTGCCTAGACTAGGAACATGCCCAGAAGCACTACTATTTACTTGTCCTATTTTTTAACATCTTCCCTTTGGCATATGTTTGAAAACGGACTAAATGGACTGGTGCTGTAACAGTCCCCATGACGCCTGGCCTAGCACACACTGTTTTAACAGCAGCATCAATGTACGTGGACAAATCAGCAGTCAACGAGGCTTTGTTCTCGTGTGCCGAGGCGTCTGCGCAGCCTTTGTGCTTCCAAGTGGGACCCCCGAGTGCTCCTCCGGGCATGACGTGGCCCAGGAGACTCCCAAGGGAGAGGGCAGGGGTGGGGCGGCAGCGCCAGGGGACTCCCAAGGGAGAGGGCAGGGCTGGGGCGGCAGCGCGCACCGTCCGCGCGCGAGCAGGGAGCGCCGGGGGCTTCTCTGCGGAGTCCCAACCCTGACACAGCCCCCAGCGCGCGGCCGCGCTCCAAAGCTGCCTCTGCAGAACCATCCCCACGGGCGAACAGCAGCGGCAACGGTGTGCGAGGAGGAAACCGAGAGGAAAAACATGGCGAGTGATAAAGGCAAGGGAGAGGAGAGCAAGTTTTCAATGATATCTGAAAACAGATGGAGACTCAATGAAGCAGTAAGAAGGACTGTCAGGATGGCAGGAGCTGGAAATGACAAAAAACAACAACAGTCTTTCTAACCTCATGAGCCAGGGTATAAAATTAAAAAGCAATAAATTTACAAAAAAAGCAACTTGTTTTCTTCATAATTTCTAAGCATTCGTGCCATGTCCTAATGCAAGGAAAAATATATAGTTTAAAAAAAAAGGTCAAAAAAGGAGATCCCAGACATATTTAGAAATAAAACATCTCTTCTTATCCCATTTGAACCAATATTAGGAAATAAAGTGGATTCTCTACCTGGATGTGCTGTGCAGATATATCAGGGGATGCAAAAAACAGTTGGTTGACACCTGCAGCATCTGGAGTTGCTAGGAAAACTTTTCCTGGAGTGGAATCTTGTCTGGCAAGGATCACCTTGCTCGGGGTAGAGCCATCATGATTTGTTAGGATGAACTGCTTGCCTGCTGAGCTCTGATCGAGGGCTGTAACAATCTGAATCTTCTGGCCCGTCTGCTGATCTGTGACAATCTAACAATACATTCATCTCAAAATGTTATGGTAGTTTAAGTTCACTCTTAGGACCCGGCCTAGGCTCTGAAGAAAATGGGATTTTCGCCCTCAGCATTTGCAAAGCAGGAGCATCTCCCCCTCTGTCACACCAGAGTTAAGGAAACTCAGGCAAAACCGTGGATTTTCCCTTTCATTTTCAACATGCCCCAGGCATAGGCATTCGAAGCCAAAACGTGAATTCACACTGAGGTGTCCTCACACGGCCTGCAGTTCTAGAGCAGCCCTCGGCGCTGTGGCAGCCCAGGCCCGAGGCAGGGCTGAGGCCGGGCCCTCGGAGCCGGCATCCGGAGCCATCCTATCGCCTCCCTGCGGATTCCGGCGCTCGGCACCTCCCACATTCGGATGCCCGGCAAGCAACTCTCTATTACCCATCTGCACCCTTACTCTCAAGTGGAAGAAATAAGCATTAGACAACAAGAAAAGCAATAATCTTGTTTCACTTGTACATCGATTTTAGGCTTTAGTTTCCTGCATATACAAATTCCAAAACAAATAAGTATTAGCTCTCTGCCATTTTCCCTTAAAGGAAAACTTGATTTCATAATTTTCATTTCATAATAGAAAACAAATCTACGTTACTTTTTCCATTTCATCTCTATTTTCAAGCACAAATACAGCTATTACTATTCATTTTTTGCCCTTTGCCCATCATTAAACTCCTTTTTTGTTGTTGTTGTTTTAGGAGTCAAGAGTTTGTCAGTTTGTAACTGCCAAAGACAATAGTTAAGATTACACCTCTCCTCCACTACAATCTCACTCCCTGTCTATTTTAATCACTCCCTGTCTATTTCCATAGGAAAGTCCATGCCAAAAAACTGCCTTGTTAATTCTGAAGACCAAGGAGAAACGCTCTGCAAACTATTTCCTACAAGCTACTTTTAAATCACAAACCAGTGAAACGAGTTCAATGTAAAAGTTTTAATAACCAAACATGAATGCATATCACTCTATTCCTAAAGCTTTCATGGTCCTTATTATTTATTTATTACAAATTATTAAAAATTATTATGCCTTCATGAGCTGCTGTATTTTATCCATGTAACAAGCACATTTGAGCCAAAATGAAAGTATTTTTTGATTGTCTATGTTAAACTCTGAACACAGATGAGAATTTACACCATGTCTGAAACAATATGCTTTCCTATAGAAGTCCATGTCCATATTTCACTCGCAGGTAATTACAGCAGGATGGCAGGCAGAATAACCATTGATAATTCATAAATTTCATTTCAAAGAGTGTCCAAATTCAAGGGGCTTCCTGGCAATCTAGGGTAACGCCCAAGCGGATCCTGCTGCATAATGTAGTAGAAACCTAGAGATTTAACTGTTATTTTACCCACACAAAGGTATGTAATCTACACAAGTGCCTTCTGCAGCTCAGAAACATTCGGTACCTGAAGGAGGCACAACAGAAAGCAGTTTATGCTATTAAGAACAGTCTGCAGTTGGCCTCTGGTGGACACATACCTGCAAAAACCCCAATTAAATCACAAACAGACTTTCAAAGTAGAGCTGGCCATCAAAGTGCAAGTTGTGAATGCACAGTAATGAGGCGAAAAAAAAATCACTGTTCCTTTCAAGGGATCCATCAGGGTTTGGTGACAACACATTATTTTTCCTAGTAATGTCAAACTCGATGTTGCCATAGGGATTATAAAATAGAAGCATAGTAATTCTGTATTGTCTTCTTAAAAAATATATTTTCTTCATGTCTTTCATTTTAGTATCTTGATGGTGGTGAAAGATACTTTAATTTTCTTTTATAGCTTTCTAAGTCCTTTTTTAAGAAGTCTTGATCGCTATTTGAATAGTGTTTCAATAAATGGTTTACCTAGATAAGCCAATGTTTGTGTTTTAGAAAAAAGTTTCTAAACATACAGAGTCCACTAGTTTATAACAAAACTGGTTTTGAACAGAAATGTCCATTTAGGAATAAATGTGGCAATCAACTTTTATCCTCAAACCCAAAAAGTTAAAGTTCCCTAAAAAGAGGGACTAGTGAAACGTGTTTTGAAGAATCTTTTACTGAGCATTTTATATTTCAATACATCACAAAAAGCAAGAGATAGTAACTGAAATTATAAACTCCAAACAAACAATTTTAACATACTCATTTTGAACATCTTATTAAACTCTATGTATTGCTCCTACAAGCAATTTACTTTTAACTACGATTTCTGCTTTTCGCCAAGTTTTCATTACTAAATTCTCCCTCACATGTAATTTATTACTATTTATAGTGCCACCACGTTTGTAGCGCTGCTGTCTCCTGCTCTGCTAAGTGTTGTTCCACACGTACCAAGAGACAACCCCTGTCCCAAAGAGCTCACTACCCATTTTGAAGCAAGAATCAATGAGTGCGGTGAGAAAAGAACCAGGACAAGGTAGCTGTGAAACATGGGATCTTCCAGAGCTACCTGAGATGATGAAAATTATATAAAGGCCCCTGAAAAACAACAACCCTCAGAAATACGATTCTTCCATGTTCATCAGATTTGCAGTAGTGGAGTCCCCACCCAAAAGTAGTCCTCTCTTCCCTGCATCAGTGGCTGCCACACAAGGGTTCAAAAGCCTCCAACTAGCTTTGGATGAGCAGAGTTGTCTTGCTGCTCAAAAATAAAGGCTCGTTGTTTTAGCACTGTCCCACAGCCAGATCCCAACAAAGAGATTACATTAAATGGCTTCCATTACAAGGGGCATTACAGCTTACACAGGTTTGGATGGGGAAAAACAGAAGAAAGGAGACACCAATTATTAACACAAATTGGTTTTTCAAAGGCACGGCTGTACAAAAAGTAAAGGCTAACAGAAAAGTCTTGGAGGTAACTGAACGAATAAGAATCTGCTGGATAGGTTAAGACTGGCACCATGAGTAAGCATACAGGCAGAGAGGTGATAAAATAAAACAAAACATCATGTATGGGGCAGCTAAAAGCAGCCCTGGGAGGTAGCACAAAGCTTGAACACAATGCACTGAAGCAGGAAAAACCAACAAAAACACTGAGAAGTGAAGTGGCAGAAGCAAAAGCAGCCAAGACTATGCTGGCAGCTGGCTCACCTGAAGCATCTCTGAGCAACAACAGAGATCTGAGAACACTTTAAAATTTATTCTGCATTTGATATTTTTCTATAAGAGGAAATTTAAAAAACAAAATGCTTGCAGGGACTTGCATTGTCTTCTAAGGGATGAAAAGTAGGTTCCTATTTCCCAAATTCTCCTCACCTCCTTATCCGTACATCTGTGTTGATTACAGTTTAACTATCTGCCCTGCTAAAAAACTTCCTGCTCTTCACCGAATTCAGGAGGAGATTATTATCTCACCAGGCTGCGAAGTAGCATAGTGGGATGTATAACATTGGCTGGGACAGTCAACAAACATCCTTTAATGTACTTCCCGGGCCTTTGTTTCCAGTACTTTTTATGAGCTGCACCAATATACCAAATAAAATAAATAAAAAAGAATTGTACACAAAAACTGACAGAAAGCAACACCCCATCCCTGCTTGCAGAACACCCTGGATGAGGCATACCTGTATGCGCTGCGGTAACGAGAGGCCGGAATCTGCAGGGACAATCTGTATCCGTTGTGCCGACCCATCCATTAGTGTTTGTGTAACAGCTTCTCGGGAATGGGTAATCTAGAAGCAAGAAACAAACACAAAGGACTGACGAAACGGATGTACTACAGTATGACCATACCGTTTCATCACTTTTGATTTTTCTGCCAAAGGCTTTGGTAAGTGTGATACTTTTACTGCACGCATAATGCAAACACTTGTGATCTGATTTAATAGCCTAACTTTGCAGATTAGAAAATTCTACTAATTTCAATCTCTTAAAGCCATTTTTGAATACCTCCCAACACAAAATTGAGAAACATGTCTGGCAGAACCATCCATTGTTGACAAATCCCCATAATTGAATTTTTTTGAATTGTAATTGCTGATGGTGCTGGCCTTTTTTCACTGCTGGCCACTGACAGAACTAGAGGAACCGGCCAGAAACTGAAGCACCAAAAGTTCCACAGGAACTTAAGGAAAAATAACGGTGAGGGTGACAGAGCCCTGGAACAGGCTGCCCAGAGAGGTTGTGGAGTCTCCTTCTCTGGAGATCTTCCAAACCCGCTTGGATGCAGTCCTGTGCCACGTGCTCTAGGTGACCCTGCGTGTGCAGGGGGGTTGGACTAGATGATCTCTAGAGGTCCCTTCCAACCTTAAGCAGTCTATGATTCTATATATCTGAGAGAGATACCCAGCAGGATGTCTTTTATCAAATCTGTGCCACATTTGCACTAACGTGTTTTACCTTAATGCCAGGGTACGGTTTAGCAACTGGCCGAAAGCCGGGCTGGTCTTGCAGTATTTGCTTCCCAATTTTGCTGCCCATACCCCCATGTATGTGCTTAGCACCAGCACAAGGGATGTAGCGGCGAGTGCGGGAAGGGGACAGGTGGTGGGGAAGACTTTCCCGACGCAGAGATACCAACTCCCACCGGCCCAAGGCCATTTTGCACCTCCACCCAGACAGGCGTTACTTTTGGCACTAGTCTCAGCCCCTCTAGTCACCTGCTGCCCTTCCTTTAGCTTGTCAGGCAAAATTGGTCGTTCAGTTAGGCAAGGATCAGCACTAGGGCTCGGCAAAGCCAAAGACGGACGGAGGCTGTTCTTAACCCAGACCAAACCTTCAACCCAGGAGCTCTCAACATCAGGACGCATCCGAACAAACGCATGGGTGGGATTAGGCTGCCAGCAGAACCACCTGTTAAACTACTGTCCAAGACGTTTTTGAACGCCAATTTCTAAAAGTATAAGGTTTTCATAGCTACTAATACAGTCAGTATTCAAACAGCTCATCTAGTTCTTTGCTTAGTAGTAAAGGACAAGAAGAGTCCCTTACACAGCAAAATCTGGAGCTTACAACGCACGAGAGCACAAAAATCCTGCCTCGGCCTCTCAAGCGATGAGTGGTGACCAACAGGCACTCAGGGTTTTGTGCAACTTACTCCTTGCTTTACAAAATTAGCTACGTATCCCAGGACTAGATTACACCTGGAAGGAGCAAGTGTCAAGACCTATGTGTTGCAGAAGGTAAAACTGCTCATCATTCCCACAAAGTGTCTGCTTGGTAGTTGGCTTCTATAAAGAATAAAAGTTTTTATTGAGGTTAAAACACACACACACACACACACACTCACAATAATTTCATTTTTAAAATGCTTCACTAACAAGAATTAGCATGATAAAAAACCAAAACTACATTGCAGAACAATTATGATGATTATTTTAATGAGACATAGGAGCATTTTCCATTTTTCAAGAAACAGAAAACCCGTTTTATCATCCTTCGTGTTTTGCTTGCATCAGTTAAATTCAATTAAAGCCATTTCAACATTCAAGGGTTTACAAGTGCTACTAAAAATACTTTCCACAGAGTTTCAACTACGGTTTTCAAAGCTCACATTGATGAGGAACTTTGCCAAGCAGATAACTAGTTAAAGACTTCAGGTCAACCCTGGGTAGGAATGACTGGCATAAATATAAATGCAATAGAGAGAAATGTCTCTCAGGGACCAAGGTGAATCATAAAACTCCCCATCCCCTTTTCAAGAGGAACACGGACTTCAGCCCGCTTTGACTAACACGCTCTTTTGCACGAAGCAGAACATGCAATACAGCCACACTGAGACCTCCCCAAAGAAACATATCACGCAGACAAAACCACAGCAGACACTCTGCTGCCTGTGAGGGGATGAGGGAGAGAGTGACTGCTCCACCCACGCGTGTGACACTCATGGCCTTCGAGGTAGCTGCACCAATTCAGATGCTACAATAATGACAGGCGTCAGAATTCATAAAAAAAGGACCAACACTCTCCACCTTTGCGTTCAAAATCACGACTGAAAGGAACTAAAAAATCACTTGAAAGATAACTGTGTACCACACCAAACTGGAAACCAGGAGTGGATGTTTCAAGCTACTCAATATTATTTTTCTACTTCTATTTACTTAGAAGCAGTACTAAGTACTACGAGGAAACTTTCTAGAGAACTATGTATATACTTACTCACACCTCCAATTTTCTTGTGCATGTCCAGACATGCTCCAACTGCACCTCACAGGTCACAGAATATAAAAACAGAAGCTGTCAAAACCAAGAACTGAATCCTTCCCATTTTACAACAAATATCTACTGATGTTTTGCAATGAAGAGCACTGCAAACTTCTACTTAGAAAAGCAGAAAAAAAGAATGACATAAAATGGAGCAAGTGCCTAACTGGAAAGTGGAACTGGGTACTGCAACTCTTTTGACTGCAAATTTGTAACCAGAAGTGAGCAGAGCAATTATTAGGCAAGGAGAGAGCTCTCTGGAGACCAGTACAGGCCTCAAAAGCCCAGCTGAAGAGCCAGCCACTTCCTAGAAGCACTGTTACATTTTCTTTAGCTTAATTTTGGTGGGATAAACTTTGGCAAGAAATATTTTGCTGCATAAATTTTAGACATTTGGACATAGCAAGTTCTTCTAATCTTCCAAGGGAGGGTCTCTTGATTTTCTTTTGTGGCTTTATTTTTTATTATTTATCAGCCTGTATATTTTATTACTCAATGTCTTTTAAATAGGACTCAAAGTTTATGTACCTCTCCCATTTGCTGTTCAATAATTTGATGGGCCAGTTCCTCTACGGTTGTCATGATCGTTAATCACCAGAATTTCCTGTCAAAGAAAGGAAAGAACATGCTTAACATCTGTAACCTCAATAGTAAACATATCTTGGGGAAAATACAGTCCACCTACATAAAGAATCTCCTGCAGAATTTAAAGCTCATTTTTGCCCTAAAAGTACTCACTTATCTTCCATTTGCAAACTTTGTACACAAGTAACTCCCATAGAAATCTACTATTCTTCCACCAAAGCAACAATCCATTAAGCTCCAAGTGCAGGCAGCAGCGTGGTATCGGCCAGGGCATCTGCAGGGATGCGATTCACATCTTAAAAACCGGACCCGGCCAACAACTTTGTTGATACACGGCAAGGAAAAAAAGTACAATTTCTTCTGTGCTTATATTGATTTTATAGTATTAGCAGGAGTGTTTAAAGATTTATTTTGTAATTAATATAAGACATCATTGGATGCAAAAAAAAAAACAGATGACTTAACAAAGAACAAACAAGAAAACTAAGTTGACTGTTCTACCACCCATACTGCTAGTGTGATGTGTCCAAATCTTCCTAAGAACTTTGTAGGATTTAGCAGACACCAATTTAACACAGTATTAAGTATTCAGATCAATCTCCATTTGGATCCCTGTCTACAAACATACGTCAGGCAGCATGTAAAACATAAAACAAGTTATGAAGTACCATAAATATTTATTTTTCTGTCAAAAGCTGTATTAAAAACATTATATCTGCCTTTCATATGAGACAAGGATTAAATAATTTGTCTATATACTAAATTTACTTCAACTGCAGACATGTTTAATACTGACAATCATATTCCTGTAAGAATACAAGAATAAATGGTACTGATCTACAATATATATATATTTTTGACACACTATGAAAGTTTTATTTAACAGGCAGCAACAGTATTACCATACAACATGTTAGCATATTAAAGAAAGCAGTCGCATATGTCGAAAAGCAGCTAACAAATACCCTTGACTCTTCATCCTTTCACTTTGCTAGAATTTCTGCTACCCCAGGGATGCCTCTGCTTGCCCAGTCACGGGTACAAAAGGCAGTGCAGCAACCTGGAGACCCCTTGTGCTCTTTGGCAGAGAGCTCTTGCTCGAGGACGGTGGGAACCGCAGTCCTTCGAAGCTGCCTGGTACTACACTAAGCTCCGAGCGACATGCGAGGGAAGATGCAGACGTGCATGTAAAACTCAAGCCTGAAGCTTACATTTAAAAACATTCACTCCTTGGAAAATCTAATAGATGGCAGCAACTTGGGACAACAGCGGGACACAACCACTACACTTATGATACACCCCCTGATGAGAAAAAAAAAAAATCTTTCTTCTTGTTTTAACTAAAAGACTAGAAAAAAAAATAATATAACGCATTACTTATATGCACCTTGCCAAAAATCTGTTACCTACTTCATTTACAAGAAAGCTCAGTTCCCAAAAAATGAATTCAATAACTACTCGGTAAAAAACATAGACTTTTGGTGAAGACCACCTCCAGCATTGATAGACATGCACTTCTTGCAGAGTTGTTTCATAAGATCTGACTGCCTTGTTATTGCTATAACAGAAATACTGTGCATACAACAGTATTTTGCCATAAATGAAGAGTAAACAAGTAAAATTCTGAAATTTGGGTCTCATCTCATAAGACAGTCTCATCTCTGCCTTGAGAAGGTTTTGGACTAGAGACCTCCTGAGGTCTCTTCCAACCTGAAATTCTCTGCAATTCTAAAATACACTATTTCTTTCAGTAAGGGGAACACCATGAGTTCCTTGCAATAACAAACAACTAAAAATCATTCTTTAAATAGCTGAAAAATCTCTTCAATGCTTCCACCTAGTTCTACTGTGTTGGTATTTTCAAAAACACAACAAATCTCCTTTTAAACAAAATGTTTGCTTCACTAAACATCTAGTTTGACTATCTAGTTAGTACAACAAAGTTCATTTGGAATAGTTCAATCCAGTTTTATCCACTGATAATGATTATAGGCTTTGTATGCCCATCCAGTCAGATGCTACAATCTGCAATCCATTTTCCACTCTGTTTTTCAGAAAAAAAAAATCAATACTTTTTTCAATCAGAAAAGCCATGTCTATAATATTTCCTATAGCTAAGTATAATTTATGACATTCTCAATTTTAGTCATATTTATCAGCACAAGCTACAGTTATTTGACACTAAACACGTCCGTGCTTTGGCAGAATTAGCTTGCTCCAACAAGAACATTAAATTCTAATTAGTGCTAGAGCCATCTTATACTAACTCAGTAACACAGTAACACATGAAAATGAACAATACAGTACAGGGAAAGGATAAGCTTAATTTAATGTTCTCAAAGATTTCAGTCAAATACTGAAAATACTAAACTTGCAAAAACTGGAAAATAACTCGCCCAAGAATTGGCACAAACATTAAGCAAAGAGTCGAGTCCTACCTCGGGTACGTATGGAACTGCAAAATTACAGCTAAAGATTCTCTGCGTCTATAGTGTTCTCTGCCATATATCTGCACTGAATTAACACAGACACACATTAATGCTTTTTACACAAACTCAGAGAATAAAAGATGGGGTGATCTGGTTTCTTCAGGCCTCCTGGATTACTTCAATCACAGTGTTAACAAGCAGGAAGGGTCTTCTCTTTCTAATACCATGTTCTTGTTTTTTTTTAAAAAAAAAAAAAAAATTATTTTTATTAAATCACCTAAACCATATCTATCCAGCCACCCAAACGGCCAGCCCCAGTCTAGTCCTTGGCCTAAGTTTCAGCCCGTGGTGAAGCTTTATTTTCGTCTGTGCTACGTCTGAGCGCATCGAGAGACCCGGCCTTGCTGTATGAGCGCGCAAGGCCACGGCCGCACGGGCAACGCGCACCTCCGGCTTCACCCCCTCTCTCCACAGCCGTGAAAACCATCACGTGAAACCATGTTTCAAGGCTCTGACATCTTTCTACAGCTCTGTAGCCTGTTCAAGCTTGTTCTTAGAGTAAGAAGTTAACATGCAACTTTTGTTGTTGTTGTTGTTTTTTTTTTGGCTTTTATAGATTAATCTGGTGAGTAAATAAGAAAGAGAGGATGAAAAAAGCAACATACAGTATTAAGGATAAAACAGTCATGATGGAAAAGTGGCCCAGTAGTGACTTCATTCCAGAAGCAAAGATACTGGGGAATTAGGTGATTGACAGGGATATGTCTTTTGCCTCACCCCACATTTCTAGGGAGGGAAAAATTTCTATTTATGAGAAATGTAGTCATCAAAGCTACTTTTAGAAAGAATGCAAGAAAAACAGTGCTGTTATTTCATAAGAGTTTCACGTGAGTTTATAACTAACTACTATCCCTGCAGTAAAATATCATGCATCACAGACCTTTCCTCTCATTAGCTGATTTTAGTCTACCATGTAATAGATAGTGATCAAATCCCAACAGGAATGAAAATTGCTATCCCTTATAATGATAAAGCTTAGCTTACCTATGGAGAAAAGTTATTTTTGCAAGAAATTTGAAATTAGCAGGGCCCAGCCAGCCTCACAATAACCCCGGCTCCCACCATCCTTAGCAGAGCACCCCGTTCCAGTTGCTCCAGGATATCTTAAGACTTTTCAGGAAATAAAGCATTTTCTCCTGTAACTGTAACCATAGCACCCTTCTCTTTTCAAAATCCTTAAAATATCTGATGCTACATTTACTGTCTTCTCGCTTTCGGAAGGCTGCTTCAATTTCATCAGCCTCTAGCCTTGCCCTGCCCCGTTACACCTCATTTTCCACTGCTTCCTTCATGGGCTTCCCAGTAGCCTTGCTCTTCCCTGCGGTGCTGGCGGAGCGTTTGGTCCCCAGCTCATGTCTGCCAGGCCAGCAAGCAAGGCTCCTTCAGGGGTATTTTCCTCTGCTTTTCCCGGGGCCACATTTGGCCCCTGACTTTCATTAGTTAAGTAACAATAATGAACTATTTATGTTATCGTAAATCTTTCAAGATAGGGAGAATTCAATCCCTTTTTTTTTTCTTCTTCAAAATGCAGCCTTATACGAAACAGTTAATGCTATCCCAAAACTCAATTACAGCTGCAATTCTGCACGCAAAGGTCTGTAAAGAACATTTAATGTGCCTTCTTCAGCCAAATATGGCTTCACTAAATTAATAAATACAATAAAAATAATAATAATAAAAATCTGCCCTGCACAGTTGGTGCATTATATACCT